AGAAGCATAGCGGTAAAATTCTCCTTGTCTGAATCACTGCTACAGTCACTTTCAAGCAGGGCCCTATGTGAGACTAGACCTCTAAATTGAAGCTTAGTTTCTACCCAAGCCAGTTGAAATAGCTTACTGTGTTTTGGGGTCATGTTGTGATTTATTTGACCATCCTGGTACCCTCAGTGCAGTGTAGGGTAAGTCCACCTGGGTGCAGAAAAAGCTTAGAGGGGAAAAACATATACTGCGGTTTTTATATTGTGTTTATTCGTATGAATGAGTAATAGTTTTACACAAAGAACCTCCACAAAGAAAGAGCTGAGGTAATTGTCTCATGACATTGGTAAATGATTTCAGCACATAAAGGGAACTGGATGGCAGTAATTCAAGCAGTCTAAAAGGACACAGGCACTGAAAGAACCATGGGGTGCTACCAACTTGGAGAATTTAAATTTTCCAGTCCACAAGATAGAATTCAGTGTACATATCAATCAGTAAATTTTAGGTTGACTGACACTTTACTATTTGAGAATGATTTATAAATGAAAGGCAAATTATTTCCCATTCCAACTATTTACCATATTTTCTCCTTAAATCCTTTTTATTAAATCCCTCTCCCACCTAGCTCTAAATTGTCATCAAGTCGGTAATTCTAATTTTATGTGCTGAGGGGCCCCTCAAACAAGCTGACTGGCTAATGCACTCAAGCAGGTATCCCACAACTAGGTTCGCACTGGACAGCACATCAGAGTGAGGGCCCTGACCGCTCAAACATTCTTGACCTGAGTGATGTGTAGTGTGACCTCTCAATGCAAAAAGAAAAATGCGACTAAAATACGATGAAATTTGAGATTAATTTTCCCCTTCAGGAGTGGCACAACTTTTCTAGAAAAAAGTCAAAGCAAGTTCATTTTTTATAGCTGCCCAGAACCTGTGTGTTTTTAATATAGCCTTTAACCAGCAATATTTAATGTCAATTCTCTTCTTCCTCCCCATCCTTGAGTGAACACTCGATATTCTTCTAACTACCACTGTTTCAAGGGATACCAGAGTAGATGTGCAAGATAAAATCTACCTGCCATCCCTGGGTTAGTCTGGAAGACAGTGATAGAGCTTTAAACTGCAACAGGAATAGGAGACAGCTGAGTCTCTAACTGGCTCAGAAGCTTGGAGAGAATGGATTCTGAACCCTAACTTGGGAACAGCAAATTCCATCCTCTAAACTGAAAGGTGCTAACAGACGCCTTATGACACAGGTCTTCCCACGTTCCCTCACAGTATTTGTGCTAGGCATGTGCGTAATTGTAAACTGAGAGCATCAAGATCTAGCTCCATGTGGGAACTGGGAGAAATCACTATGGAGGGGAGAATTCATCTTCTATTTGAAAACATTGATGTTGAAACCAAGGGTCCTTATGATTTTCATTACATTTAGTTTTAAATTCTAGCTCTGGAAATTCATATTCTCTCTCTCTCTCTCTCTCTCTCTCTCTCTCTCTCTCTCTCTCTCTCTCTCTCAGACCTAGCCTTTCCCTCTAATCAGCAACCTCACCACCACTCAAGGTATCAGGAGACAGTAGCTGGACCATGGTCACATGGTCTGGACCTCTGCTAGGCTAATGATAACATCTTGACCCAAGTTATGTTTTAGTTCCTGAGCCTTAATATAGAAAGGCCCCTGGTTACTTTCCCATGAGACCGAAACCTTGGAACTGTCCTCAAGACCTGAAGAAATGATTCATTACCCTTACCTCACCTCTGACCAATCAGTTCCCCAACCCCTAAATCCATGGTGTTTTGTGATTTTGCCCGATATAATCTGTAAACTACATGCTATCAGATCTTTAGAATTAGCTCTCCAGATTTGGACTGGTCAATTCAATATTAAACTATTTTTATTTCGCCTGCCCAGCTTGGCTCAGTGGTTGAGCGTCGACCTATGAACCAGGAGGTCACGGTTTGATTCCCGGTCAGGGCACATGCCCAGGGTTGCAGGCTCGATCCCCAGTGTGGGGCGTGCAGGAGGCAGCCGATCAATGATTCTCTCTCATCACTGATGTTTCTCTCTCTCTTTCTCCCTCTCCCTTCCTCTCTGACATCAGCTGATCAATGATTCTCTCTCATCATTGATATTTCTCTCTCTCTCCCTCTCTGACATCAATAAAAACAACAACAACAAACTATTTTTCTTTCTGTACTGAAAGCTCCTGCTCATGCATTTTTGGGGGCCAATGCTTGCAGGCAGGTGGACTCAAGGAGAAACATTGGGGTTCCTGTAACAATGTCCCTAAGAGCACATAAAGATTTGTATATGTTATTTTCAGCGATCCCCAGAAGAGGAGATAAATGAATAGGAAACCTTTTAAAGGTCTTAGGAGAGAGGACTGAATCTTTACAATCATGCAATTATTAAAACATGTAAGGTGAATGGACACTGTTTCCTGAAATATGCTTTTGTTCCCATTAGGACTGATTCATTAGGCAGGAATAAACTCCATGTAATTTTTTCATGGAAAAATGTATAGGGTACTATTCTTTTTAATGTTAAAAAGCATGAAGTAACATTTTATGAATGTTTAGTGCAGCATATGATACTGTGTTGTAATGATTACCTGCTATAGATTACTTGAGTACATAGGATCAACTAAGTTCCAGGTGCAGGAACTTTAAAAACAAAAACATGTAAGGTGATCAAGAACGTAAAGCACATCCTTAAGGCTGTAGACGGAGTGGAACATTCGGGTTTAGAAATACACGAATTCCAAAGGACTATGGTCTCATTCAGCCACAAACAGCCGAGATTTGTTTCCCGGGTTGGTAAATTCCCCTCAGGCAGTGACTTTTGTAAAAGGGGATAAAAAAGGTTTCCATTTCTTTTAAGCATTCGCAAGATCCTTTGCTGCACTCTCACATTTAACCCAGGGCCATGAGAGCAGACTATTTACCCTGAAACTGCATTTCTTTAATACAGTTCTGGAGAGGATTGTTTCTAAGAACTGAGTCCACATTGCTCTCTACCCTTTGCCATTTACTACAACTGAACCCTCAGCTGCGCTGTAGCACAATCTGCCAACAAGGAACAGCCACAACTGAGAGCCCCCTTTGTGCCTGAGAACCCAACTGCCGTATGAATGCGGGAGGGAAACCATCCAAGATTTTGAAGGAGTGGGTTGGAAGTATGCACCACTATAGACACAAAATGTCTTATTGTGATGCTCGGCTAGAGGTATCCTGAATTTCGTTTTGAGAAACACTTGAAGCCACAAAGCTATTTCTCTTTCAAACATATTGACACCACAGATGTAAAGAAAAAAAAAGCACACACAATTAATGAGCCCACAGCATACCCAAATGCTCTGAGAAGTTAGCCAAAACCTAGGAGAAAACTTATTAATATGAACATGGACCAGAGATTAGGATCAAGTGTGAGCAGCTCAACTTGACAGGTGTGAATCAAAATCAACCACAACAAAGTAACCTTCCTGGGAATCTCCCCAAGAGACACAGTAAGTAGTTTAGATCAAAACAACACTGGGAAATCTTTTACCTAAAGATTTCAGGGACACAGACACTAACTACATTGAGGTTCTAAAATAGATTTACTGGCTGGCCAGTGTGGCTCAGTGGTTGAGTGCTGACCTATGAACCAGGAGATCACAGTTTGATTCCTCGTCAGGGCATATGCCCAGGTTGCCACCTCGATGCAGGAGGCAGCCAGTCAATGATTCTCTCTCATCACTTATGTTTCTATCTCTCCCTCCCTCTCCGAAATTAATAAAAATATAAAATAATAATAAAGAAAAGGATAAAAATAAAATAGATTTACCATCTGTAGCCTCAGAGGCCTATACAGAGATTTTGGTGGGGACATCTAAAAAAAGTTTTTTAAGTTTTTATTTATTTATTTATTTATTTATTTAAATATATTTTATTGATTTTTTAGAGAGGGGAAGGGAGAGGGATAGAGAGTCAGAAACATCGATGAGAGAGAAACATCGACCAGCTGCCTCCTGCACACCCCCTACTGGGGATGTGCCAGCAACCAAGGCACATGCCCTTGACCGGAATCGAACCTGGGACCCTTCAGTCCGCAGGCCGACGCTCTATCCACTGAGCCAAACCGGTTAGGGCGTTTCTTAAGTTTTTAAAAACTTAAAGATTCTGAACAGACAAGAAAACTTCAAGTCGTTCCAGCTGCGCCTCCAATTTACTTTAGGGGGAGTAAGAGTAACTCTTACATTTACTTTAGGGGGAGTAAGAGTAACTCTTACATTTACTTTAGGGGGAGTAAGAGTAACTCTTACATTTACTTTAGAGGGAGTAAGAGTAACTCTTACATTTACTTTAGGGGGAGTAAGAGTTGTCTGGGAAATAGGAACGGGATGAAGACACTGTTTCCCACTGATCTCATGACCCTATTATAGAAAGTGTTTCTTAAAAATATGTAAATGTATACACAATATATTCTCTCTCTCACACACACCCACACACTCACACTCACACACACACACGTTTTCAGACCTATTACAACTTTACCTGACTGCTCTCCCATCATCTTTAAAGACACACATGTTGCCCCAAGTCTACTTACTCCTATGACTGTAACGGAGACAAAGTACCTGAATCAGGAGTATAAATTTGTTAAAGAAATACAGGACTATTGGTCATATTTTGAATGTCCATGAAAATAGCTATTTAACCACAGCAGAGCTGTGTTAGATTAAGTTTTAGCCTGTATATATTTATGACATGATTTTGGGGGTACAGCAATAATATGCCAGAAATTCCGAAGGAGAAAAAAAATTTTTTTAATAGCTTTACTCTTAAGGCCTCTTTTTGTGTGCTGTTTACAATGCAACAACCAAAACAAGCCCCCAGCAGTGTGTCCTCTCATACACCTCTGATGAGGAGGAGAGAGTTCTGGCTCCTACCTCAGAAAGAAAGACTAGAACTTATTTCAGGAACATCAAAGTAGCAACTGTCAGAGGGAAAGATTCTGACAAACTTACCAGGAGGCGTGCAGGCATCCGCAGGAGACTGGACAAACGTGGACCGCCTTTTGGTTGGCATGGGCAAAGCCATTTTCTGTTCTTTATGCTTTGCCAGTGCGGCCTGAACGGCTTCTGTGTGAATATCTGAAAGAGTAAACATTTGCATTTATCAGCTCCTGGCTCTTAAAGTATTTTACTTCTGTGGGCTGACCTATCACTGCCTCAACGGTAGAAAAGGGGATGTTTAGGTGATTTTTATTTATCATTTGTGTTAAAATATAAGGGCTGATGTTACTTGTTCGTCACTTTGGCCACAAAAGAATTCAGCTCTCCACTTGAATGTCTAATTGGAATCTTAAAATTAACATAACTAGACAGAACTCTTGATTCTCTACTCCTACTCCCAAACTCACTTTACATTTCTACAAAATCAGACCATACTGTACACAGTATTTTGGATTCTGCTTTTTTTTTTCCTCTTACACAATCCTACTGAGGTAGGTAACAAATGAAGTGACTCCCTAGTTCTCCTCGAGCAATGGGCCCAATCCCCATGCAAACCATCCTTAAAGGCCTGTCTGTAATATATAAATGCACCCCTTATAAGGCTGGAACAAGCAGCTCCTTTGGGGCATGGGGTAAACTCTGCATCAAGAAACTGCAGGTCCTAGAGTTGAGTCACTTCAATGACACTGCCTTCGAAAGGAGAAAAGTCCTTGAAGTTCAAGGTTGAGCTCCCCAGAGCTCTCTCTCCCTTTCTAGAGATTTCTCATTTGTTCCTTTGTTTCTATGATCTACCCTAGATATTTAAGGTAGCCTGAGTTGTCCTGTTTCATTCAACAACAACAACAACAAAAAGTCTCACTAATTTAACTAGAAACATCTTTCTGGGTAAATATAGAACTACAATAATTTTAAGGGCTGCATGGTATTTCACTGTATGATGTGCCATAATTTGTTTAAGCAACCTTATTTCCAATTTTTGCTACTATTCATAGCAACTATTCACTGCAAGAATAAGTTAGTATTTTCACTTTATCACACATGTTCAATCCTATTTCCTTAAGATTAAGTCCAACAATTGCTGAGGTATACAGGATTTTTCTCTTACATAGCTACAGTATATTGATTAAAATCCAGAAATTAAAAATTTATACAAACTATTATCTAAACCACAACCTATATTCCAAGTTAGCCAATTGTCCCAATAATGTCCTCTATAGTTTTTTTGCCTTTTTCCCTGATCTGGGACCGAATACAGAATCACACATTTAGTTGTCATGTCTCTTTATAACCGGGAATAGTTTCTCAACCTTTGTCTCTCATTACCTTGACATTTTTGTATAGATTAGTTATATTGCAGAATGTTCCTTAATTTTGTTTTTGTTAATACTTCTTCGTAATTATTCAGACTGTGTACTTTGGCAGGAAGACCACAGAAGTAAGGTGTCTTCTTGAAACATGATGTTAGGATGCATCTGCCTTACTACTGGTGATAGTAACTTTGGTCACTTGATTAAGATGGTGTCTGCTAAGTTAATTCACTGTAAAGTCACTATTCTTCCCTTTAATTCATTTGTGGGTGAATACTTTTGAGACTATATAAGTGTTATATACTTCATTAAACTTTCACCCACTAGTTTTAGCATCCACTGATGATTCTTGGATGAATCAATTATTTCTATAATGATTATAAAATGGTGGTTTTATAACTCCATCATCCCTTCTGTATTTACTAGCTGGTATTCTAAGAAATATTATAATGGAGATGAAAAATTCCTGTTGCCTAGAATTGTAGCGCAGCACATTACTCACATGTTTGTGGTAATGCTGGTGTAAACAAACCTACTGCCCTACCAAATGAATAAAAGCATAGCACATACAATCATGTATAATACATAATATCGGATAATGGTAACAAATAACTATGTTATTATTAATATGTATTTAGTATATTGTTATTTTAGATTGTACTCTTTCTTTTTTTTAAAATATATTTTATTGATTTTTCACAGAGAGGAAGGGAGAGAGACAGAGAGTTAGAAACATTGATGAGAGAGAAACATCGATCAGCTGCCTCCTGCACATCCCCCACTGGGGATGTGCCCGCAACCCAGGCACATACATGCCCCTGACCGGAATCGAACCTGGGACCCTTCAGTCCGCAGGCCGACGCTCTATCCACTGAGCCAAACCGGCCTCGGCGATTGTACTCTTTCTTATAAAAAAAAGTTTGTTGTAAAATAATATGCTGTGTTACCCAGGCACAGTCTCAAACATTTTGTGTTTACTGTGTATCTTGATTGTATTGTTTTCTCTTGTGCTTTCATTTAATCTCATGTTTTTTTGTACAGTAAACATGCTGTTCAGGCTTGAAGCCTAGGAGCGATAGGATATAACATATAGCCTAGGTGTGCAGTAGGCTATACCATCTAGGTTTGTGTAACTGTACTCTGATGTTCGTACGATGATAAAATTGCCTAACAATGTTTCTCAGAACATATCCCTGCCGTTTAAGCAGTGCATGACTGTATATCAATATGGACCTATTGACTCTCATTTTATTCCATGACTATTCTGTTACTATTGCTACTTATTTTGATGCTGTGCTAATATTATCCCAGATTTGCCCAACAGGAGCCCCTTCAAACCAACTCTTATGTCCTTTTGACATATCCCTACCATTTTGAACAATTCTTTATTTTCTGGTACAAGATGCTTCAGGCTCATATGGTCCGTTCCCTGCTCCAGCACTAAAATTACACACTTCTCCAAGGAGCCTTGGCTCTTCTTAGTGGAGAATGGTACTTAGAACCAAGATCTTACTATTGGAAGTGCTCTGTGCTATTGGGGTATCTTTCTTCTAAGCCCTTCCAAAAATAAAGTAACCCTATCTAATAAAAGAGAAACATGGTAATTAGCCATACCTCCGCTACCCTTCCCATTGGCTAATCAGGGCGATATGCAAATTAACTGCCAACCAAGATGGTGGCCGGCAGCCAGGCAGCTTGAAGCCAACAGGAGGCTTGCTTGCTTCAGTGACGGAGGAAGCCAACGTTCCCCGCCTGCCGCTGCCGGCCTCTGAGCTTGCAGTTTGAAACATTGTTACAAATATAGAAGCTAAACAAAACCCCAGAAACCTGCTTTCAGCCAGCCGGGATCTCAGAGCTGGAGTTGAAACAGTGTTTCGATTATAGAACCCAAACAAACCAGACACCTGCTTTCAGCAGCTGAGGCCTCAGAGCTGGACCCAAGCCTCAGAGCTAAAGCTGGCCCAGAATAAAAAAAAAAGAAAAAAAGGAGCGGTTGGGAGCTTCAGTCACCTGCCAGCCTGAAAACGGCCCTCAGCCCCTTACCCAGACTGGCCAGGCACCCCAGTGGGGACCCCCACCCTGAAGGGGGTGTGACCAGCTGCAAACAGCCATCAGCCCCTCACCCAGGCTGGCCAGGCACCCAAGCGGGACCCCCACCCTGATCCAGGACACCCTTCAGGGCAAACCAGCCGGCCCCCACCCGTGCACCAGGCCTCTATTCTATATAGTAAAAGGGTAATATGCCTCCCAGCACCGGGATCAGCGGAGCCGCGAGGCCTCCTGGCCCCTGGAGTAGTGTGACAGGGGGCAGCACCCACACCACCTGATCGCCCTGCGGCTCTGTGTGTGACAGGGGGCGGAGCCACAACCTCCCTATCCGCCCTGCTCTGTTCGTGACAGGGGAAGGCGCCCCAACCCCCTGATCAGCCCTGCTCTGTGCCTGATAGGGGGGAGCTCCCCAACCCCTTGATCGCCCTGCGGCTCTGTGTGTGACAGGGTGCAGCGCCCCAACCCCCTGATCAGCCCTGCTCTGTGTGTGACAGGGTGCGGCACACCAACCCCCCCCCCCCCCCACGGGCCCTGCTCTGTGTGTGAGGGGGTAGAGCCATAACCTCCCAATCGGCCCTGCCCTGAGTGTGACAGTGGCGGCCCCAACCCCCTGATCCGCCCTGCTCTGTGTGTGACAGGGGGTGGTGCCCCAACTCCCCTATCGGCCCTACTCTGTGAGTGACAGGGGGGAGCTCCTCAACCCCCTGATGGGCCCTGCTCTGTGCGTGACAGGAGGGAGCTCCCCAACCCCCTGATGGGCCCTGCTCTGTGCGTGACAGGGGGGAGCTCCCCAACCCCCTGATCGACCCTGCTCTGTGCGTGACAGGGGGCAGTGCCCCAACCCCCTGATTGGCCCTGCCCTGTGCGTGACGGGGGTGGCACCGCAACCTCCCCATCGACCCTGCCTTGAGTGTGACAGGGGGCGGTGCCCCAACCCCCCAATCGGCCCTACCCTGAGCGTGACTGAGGGTGGCATCGTAACCTCCTGATCCGCCCTGCTCTGTGCATGACAGGGGGCGGCGCCCCAACTCCCCAATCGGCCCTGCTCTGAGTCCGACCAGGGGCTGCACCTAGGGATTGGGCCTGCCCTCTGCCACCTGGGAGCAGGCCTAAGCCAGCAGGTCGTTATCTCCCGAGAGGTCCCAGACTGTGAGAGGGCACAGGCCGGGCTGAGGGACCCCCCCTTCCCCCCCAAGTGCACAAATTTTTGTGCACCGGGCCTCTAGTATAAATATAAACATAAATATTCACACATATATCTACATCTGTTTCATCTATATTAAAAACCATGAGTTCATATTAATACCTCCAATTCCAATTTAACACCACAGAATTCATTCTAATCTTCCTCCATCCCATTTGTAACTCCATTCTCTAACACAGTGGTTCTCAACCTTCTGGCCCTTTAAATACAGTTCCTCATGTTGTGACCCAACCATAAAATTATTTTCGCTGCTATTTCATAACTGTTGCTACTGTTATGAATCATAATGTAAATATCTGATATGCAGGATGGTCTTAGGCGACCCCTGTGAAAGGGTCGTTCAACCACCAAAGGGGTCGTGACCCATAGGTTGAGAACCACTGCTCTAACAGTAAGAAACCTGGTTCACAATATCCTCTATATATTTCACTTGTTCACTCAGTCCTACAATATACAAAAAGTAGCTCTGAAACTGCTATCCTATCTATCTATATAAAAGGCTAATATGCTAAGTGTCCTTCCCTTCATCTGGGGAATGGCATCAAGTAGCAACGCCTGGCTTCCTCTCCCTAGTGATG